AGCATATCATGTATATTATTTTTATATGTTCTAATGTAATTCACTCTATGTTCTAAAGTTAATTTCTATTTTCTATAGGTTTGAATGTGCATTAGATGCTCAAAGGCACACTCAAAATAAAATGGATAATGATTCGAAGAATAAGCGTCCGGAGTGTGAGACTCCAATTCCTTTAGAGAAAGATGCTTCCGAGTTGTTTACAACAACAATTTTCTATGAATTTCAATATGAGCTTGAAATTGAATGTTTTAATTGTGGTGTTGAGGAGATAAAGAAGAACAATGAGCTTTACATTTTCAAATTGAGGGAAGGATCTAGGAGGAGGATTTTTGATGCTTTTGATCCAACTACCTTAGAAACCAAGTGTTTTTGTAAAATGTTTGAACGTGAAGGCAGTCCTTTTAAGCATATGATTTGGGTATGGAAGGCAAGGATGTTAATATCACCCTTATTATCATCCTCACCATCATCTTCACTATCATTATTCTCATCATCATCCTCACCATTATTATCCTCGTCTTCTTTTTGATCTTTTTCTTCTTCTTGATCTTTTTTTCCTTCTTCCTTTTTTTGCAATTTTCAAGGTGGTTGAAGCCTTATTGGAAGTTTGCTATGTCTTTTAGCAACACTTTTACTTGCAATATTCTTCTCAAATTCCGATTTCTTGATTACTTCCGCTTCAACGTTTTCAACTTTCCTTTGAAAACAATCATAAATAATTAGAATATAACTAATATTAAATAGAGTACAAATATAAAGAGATAAGATGAACATAAATTATAATGAATATACATTAGAATATCTAGCATAAACTTTTGAACATATAACAACTTTAAAACATATAGGGTAAACTTTAGACCATAAGGGTAAACTTTAGAACATAAAGGGAAAATTTTAAAACATAGGAGTTGTTCAGTAAAATACAGAATATTAAATTTGGAACATGATAATAATAATAATAATAATAATAATAATAATAATAATAATAATAATAATAATAATAATAATAATAAAATAAATAAATTTACCAATTCAAACCTCAACACCAAAATCTTAACCAATTTCAAACATAATCAAATAAAACCACAAAAGGAAAACTTCATACTCATGTATGCTTTGATCAAAACTTACATATAGTGCAAATATAAAGGGTTAAGATGAAATTTATATATAATGGACAAACATTAGACTACAAAATAAGCTTTCAAACATATATGATAATTATTAGAACGTAATACAAATCTTTAGAACATAAGGGAAAACTTTAGAACAAGCTTTAAAACATAATAGGTAAACTTTAGAACATTAGTTTAGTTACCTTTTTCTTAAATAAGTAATTTCTTCTTCTTGTGTATTAGTAACTCCTTCTTCTGATTTTTCTTCATTTTGACCTTGCATTTTGCTGCAATTTTAAGAAATAAAAAACATTAGTAACATTCCAACATTAGTAATATATTTTTGAACATAGGATTAATTTAGAATACCGCAGAAAAAGAGTTTAGAATATGCTTAAAAAGAGTTTAGAACATGCTAAGCTATGTCAGTTGCTTGCATATCTTAAAAGTGTATTTTAGATCATAACATTAACATTCTATAAACATATTGACAAGAACAACGTGGAAAGATCAACACCATGTTCTAAATTTTTTCAACCTATGTTCTAATTTTTTCCTATGTTCTAAATTTTTTCTACCTATGTTCTAAAGTTTTTTTTTCCTATGTTCTAAATATTCTTTTATCTATGTTCTAATTTTTTTTTTCCTATGTTCTAAATTTAGTGTACTTATGTTCTAAAGTTTTTTTTTCCCTATGTTCTAAATTTAGCCATACCAACTACTCACAAACACTCACCTGCTCCAAGCGTATTCTCCCCTGCTCCAAGCGTATTCTCCCCTGCTCCAAGCGCATTCTCCCCTACTCTTCCCTTGTACCCACGCACCAAAACTCACAACCATCTCACCAATCCTACTCACTGCTCCACCGCACGTCCGCACCCCTGCAATCACAACCAACAACCCCTAACCAATTAGCTGCTGCCGCATAAATCAACCATCGCACCACAACCCCTACAAACAGGGGCAATCGCACCAACATCACCAATTTCAGCCCATAACCTCCACCTCGCACCAGTCCAAAACCCCTCACCAGCACTACAACCGCAACTACACCGTCAGCCGGCGAAACAGCCTCACAGCCATCACCAACAGCAGTGCTGGCCTCCACCAGCCATTAATTCGAAATCGAAATCCGCAAAAATCAGCAAAAATCGAACCCTAAATTCGAACACTAAATCTCTGAAATTCGAAATCTAAAAACGAACTATAGATCCGCAAAAATAAGCAAAAATCGAACCCTAAATTCGAACACTAAATTTGCAAAAATCGAACTCAAAAAAATTAAACTCCATGCGAATTTCATTAAAATCAAATCAGAAAAATCAAACTCATGCAAAATTCATGAAAATCAAAACAGAAAAAACGCAAATATCAAATCACAAAAATCACTGAAAATTCTTGAAAAAACAAACAAATGGTCGAATATAATCATACCTGAATTGTGATATCTAGAGTTTTTTCGCCAAAATTTGCTCTTAATTTGTGAAATTTAACTTATTTTATGATTAATGTTGTTGATTTTAATCGAGAAAATGAAGGAAAATTGTTGAAAGTTCTTCGAAGTGCAGCTTCTGGCGCTTTTGAGGAGAGAGAAACTCACAAACGTTTAGATTGAGGAGAGAGAAAGTGAAAGCTGTTTGGGTTTAAAGGTTTGTGATTTGTTTTGATCATGGCCGTTCATATCAATCTAATCCTACGATTAAGATTAGTTCTTACATAACTAGGGTTCTTATATAAGGAGGGGTTCTTACCGGATCCCTCCCCTATATATATATAATATAATATAATATAATATAATATAATATTATAATTATTATTATAATACTAAAACAGACACCAGGAATGACACGTGTCAATTCCTGATGTAATATTTTCCGTCCAAAACGTCCTCTCTATTTTCTTGCCAATAATGTTTTAGAGAATATTTAAATAATATGATTTGTTATTGATCTTTTTATATCTTTATTATTTACACAATCAACTATGATTTTATTCTAAATATGTTATAACTTGTATCTTTTCTTGCCAAAATCTTGTAAAGAATATTTTTGTAATATGATTTCCTATTTGGTCATTTTAGTGGGTAATCATGTTTTTTTATTTAATGAGATGCAATTTATATTGTGTTGGGAAAAATAAACTGATTTTACTATTTTGTTTTCCCCAAAAGATCGCAAGATTGCTTTGACTATCGAGCTAAACTCTCTTTCCTCTATTTAATGTCATCTCATCCTATCCCATCCCATATTTTGTTTGTTTTTTCTTTTTCATTTCCTACGTACTATTGAAATAAGGATTGGAGTATAAAACATTATTTTTATTGTAGTAAGTTACATATTGATTTTAAAACTATTTCTAATATACAACTTTAATTGATGCAAATTTTTTTGGTTAAATCCGTGGATTGCATATAAGCGCATAGGGCCTATGTATTTTGCATGCATATAGGAGGGCAATTGGGGATTCGGTGGTATATTTTCTCTCTTTTAATGATACAGTGGTACATTTTTGTGTACTATTATGTACTATTATGCATGTAGTGGTACTTTTTGTCATCATATTTTCTACCACCGATTTTTTTTTTCAGATTCCCATTATTTACAAAAATGCCATCCTATTTGCAAGTAATGTATATAGGGCCTATGCGCCAATACTTATTCAAATCCGTGCATTGCACACTAACCTAGTATTTACTATTTTCCTCCCCTATATTGGTCCCTCATATCATGTATTTTTATTTTTCAAATATTCAGTCCTATTTACTTATGCCCAGTTTATTTATTTATTTATTCTTTAATAAATTAATGCAGTCCACTATTCCTTCTAAAGCTTTGTGCTCTGAAAAATTAAGCACTTACTCCCTCCGTGTTTAAAAAAATAAAAAGTTTTCCTTTTCCGGTCGTGTTTAAATAAATGAAACGTTTCCTTTTTTTAGTAACTTCTCTCTATTTTTTTTAATAATATCCTCTCTATTTTTAATAACATTATACTAACTAATGCTTCCCACAAAACCCCTTACTTTCTTCTCTCTCATCAACTTATACCCCACTACCTATTATTTTAATAAATTCAACTAACCTTCCTAAAACTCCGTGATAGTCAAAACGTTTCATTTTTTTTAAACACGGAGGGAGTATTAAAATACAAGCACTTCAAGTTTAGATTTAGATTTCTAATCTTATGTATACTCGTGCATTAGCACAAACACGCTCTAATAAAAGAATATTTTAAAATATATTTCAAGCCAATCTAACTAGGCTGATCAGATCAAATCAGACATTAACTTAAGTTAAAAATTAACGCTAATAAGATCTAATAAGTACAATAAGTCCAAATAAGTTCGATAAATGTTTATTTAGCACTAGGGGTGCTAATCGAGCGAGTCGATCACGAGCTGAGGGGTGCTCGACTCGACTCGAAAACTTTTTATATGTGCTCAACTCATGCTCGCTAAAGTTTCAAGCCAATAAACCCTGCTCAACTCGTGCTCGTTAAAGTTTTGAGTTGAGTCGAGTAGCTCACAATCTACTCATTAAAATTTTGGGCCTTCTAAAATTGTAGGCCTTTATTTTATTTTTTTGTTCACTTGATATAGTTTTCTTTATTTATTATTAAAGATTTACTCTTTCTTTTTCGATTATATAAATCAACTCTTAATAAATATCAAATTTGTCTAAACATGGTAACTTTGTTTGTAAATTCTATACTAATACAAAATATATTATCGAGTTACTCATGAGCTTATCGAGTCGAGTTAGAGTTTGCTCAATTCATGCTCATTAACTTTTAGAATCGAGCCGAATTCAAATCGAGTTGAATTCGAGTTACACATGAGCCGCTCAACTCGATTAGCACGGTAGCACCCCTATTTAGCACTATCGGCAACATTGATTATCCACCCTACTAGTAGTTCCACAAAAATAAAGAACCAAAAAACTTAAATCTCACGAATCCCTCATTTCCTAACTTGGCCATCCTTCCCGTCTTCTTCTCTTCTACTCCGTACTATAAACACTGTTATCAATCAATCCATCTTCATCTTTCTCTCTCTTCTCGATCTCAAGATCGAAGATGGGCTTCCATGGCAGAAGCTCATGGATCTTCTCTCTCCTCTGCGCTCTTCTTCTCTTCTCTCAAGCTTATTCCTTTTACCTTCCTGGTGTTGCTCCTCGCGATTTCCAAGTGGTAATTTTTATTTCAATTTTCTCTTCATTTTGTTCTTGGTTTCATGTTTTCTACTTTTGATTTGCGTTTTTGGGTTGTGATATTTGTGGGTCTGGTTAGTTGATCTGTTTAATTTGGGGATTTAGGGTTTTGGGTAGGATCTGATTACTGTTTAATTCGTGTTCTTAATGGTTTTTATTTGGATCTGATTATCTGGGTTTATTTATGTGCTATTTGATCTATATATTGTGTAATTTTTATCTTATTTGACTTTCCTGAGGTTGAGATTTTGGGTGATTTGATTAGTGTAGAAAAATCTTTAATTTTCACTGACAATTTGACTGAGAGTTATTGAGTTGGAATTATTTCAACCTGGGGTACTTTTAATTGTAGAAATTTCGATGTTTTGGTGCAAAAATAGCTATATAGTATCACTTATAAGATGGATACAGTCGTGGATTGATGTGCCGTGTTATCGCGAAGCTAAAAGCTGATCCCTTGATTCGATTAGTGGAAGATCTGAATATTAGTGAGAATGTTGGGAGGGCATTCAGTTGATTTGATTAGTTGGATACATTTGTGAAAATAGATTGATATTTGAATTTATGAGGTTGCTTTAAGGTTATTAGCTTTCGATTCATCAGACTTGGAGTCCTGGATATATTGGTGATTGGGGGTGGAGTGGACTGGGTCGGCGGGGCCAAGAGTGCAATACCCTGGTTTATTTGATGCATCATGTAGAGCTTGGCAAATTATTGTTCATTGAGTAATATGTTTATGAATGCTACAAACACTTAAATCGTACAGTAAATAAATGGTTTTCTTTTGGAAATTTGTGCAGGGAGATCCTCTTCAAGTGAAGGTCAATAAGCTTTCGTCTACAAAGACCCAGCTTCCTTACGACTACTATTTCCTGAAATATTGTAAGCCACAGAAAATTATAAACAGTGCTGAGAACTTGGGAGAAGTTCTTCGTGGTGATCGTATTGAGAATTCTGTGTACACTGTAAGCTTGCATTTATTTGTAAAATGTATTAGAATATTATTTTTACAATTTTCTCTGTAATGTATCAGCTTTTGGACCACAAGTCATTAGTTCATAGTATGAGCTACATTGTGATATTTGAATCTGACATTTCTATTGGCATGCCAGTTCAAGATGAGAGAGGAGCGGATTTGTCAGGTTGGTTGCCGACAGAAACTTGATGCTGAAGCTTCTAAAAATTTTAAGGAAATGATTGATGATGAGTATCGAGTTAACATGTAAGTACTGTTGGTTAGTTGGTCGAATTTTCTTTTATCTACACTAGAGCACCATAATTTAAATACTTGAGATGGAGGTTTTAAATTTTGGCTACTGTATCTATGTATGTCTGCTTACATGTTTATTTTGCTGTAACAGGATTCTGGACAATCTTCCAGTTGCTGTGATAAGGCAAAGGAGAGATGGACAGGCCAAGGTTTACGAGCATGGATATCGTGTAGGATTTAAGGGAAAGTACACTGGGGTAAGTCGTATGCAATTCCATCTACCTGTGGATTTTGTACCGCTGTTTTTTCCTATCTTGATGCCCAAACTTGCTGCTGCAGTCTCATGAGGAGAAGTACTTTATCCATAACCATCTATCCTTCAAAGTGATGTACCACAAGGATCTGGAAACTGATGTTGCTCGTATAGTTGGTTTTGAGGTTACTCCTCACAGGTTTTCTTTCTATCCTTGCTGAAATCATTGATTAATTGTTATTACTTTTGTCATCCTTTTTTGTTTTTATGGGTGTAATGGTGTATACTAAATTCACGCATTCTTATTTTTCGTTTGCCTCATAAGTTTCATTGCTTCAACGTTTGACTCATTAATTCTGTTAATTTTATCATTCAACTCTCAATGGAATTGTGCTAAGGGGCCAAATTTATAGCCTTACTCTGTCAGCAGAGCTTTTTGCATGTTACATTCTGTGGTTTTTGGATGGAACCATGGATTCAAAGTTATTACTACAAGTTATTGTTGCATCTAATTTGATGTGAATGGTTAATGTGAGACATGTTTTAAGCATGTTGTCATTTGAGGTATACCTCATTGCTCATGCTGGGTTCTGGATGAGTAAGACACTGTTGGATCAATGATAACAGTTCTTTGAAATTGTTGGTCAATTATATTGGGTTTTAGTAGAATAGTATGTGTTGATAATTATCTCCACTTTCTGGCACTTCCTGAATTGATGATTCTAGCACTGATGATGGACTGTTCTTTTCAACTTTATGTGATGTGAACTTATGTAAATCTGTTACCAGCCATCATTCAAACTTCTTAGAACTTTTTGGCGTTTATCTAACATTCTAACCTCAAATTAACTTGTAAGATCCCAACATTTTTTTTGTAAGGTGAATAGAGCATAGCTTTGTGCCACAAGTGAGGCTCAAGTAAAGCTAATAAGGGCATCACTTTTCTTCAACCAGCTTGTATATTTAATTTTTAACTACAAGTTTATGAGTTGGCATTATAAATTATTTATAGATATTTATGTTTTTCTTTTCCTCAAGACAAGCTCTAATTCCTTATTGTTGAGCCAATGGTGCATGTATATATTTTGTTTGCTACTCATCTATATGTGTTGTAATAGGTTTGCCATTTTAGTGTTGGTCATTATATTGATGGCATAGTGTTCTGAATATGTGTCCTACGCTTTGCATACTTCTTATAATGGGAAGGCTACAAACTTAAGATTTTGTAATTGGGGTCATTGGAGAAGTAAATAAAATGCTCCATATTGAGAGAAGAGGGAGATGGGCTGGCATAGTGCCCTGAATATGTGTCCTATGCTTTGCGTACTACTTATTATGGCAAGGTTAAAAACCTTAAGATTATGTAATTGGGGTCATTGGAGAAGTGGGGGGGGGGGGGGGTTGTTGGCAGTGCTTAGCATTTAGACACTATTTTGACAGAGCCCATTTGTAATTAAGAATTCAAAGACTGGGCATACTCCTTTAGAGGAGTCAGCTACATATATTGTTATGCTCATTTTTGTGTTAGAAAGTTTGAGCTTTGGTGCCTATATTTGTTTGTGCGGTTCATTTGATCTCTGTGCTTTAGATCTTAGCGTTTGTAATTTGATGAAAATTTCCAAACTTGGGAACCAACATTGTTTTGGCCATGCTGTAAATAGTCATGGGTCAGCAGCTGGGATTTGCTTTTCGTTAATAATGGTATTTAAACACACCTCTTTATGAAACTATAAGCAGCTTGTTGATGTGTCAGTAATCTTTTCAGGAGATTAGGATGCCATATCCTTACTTAAGGAAATAGCTTTGTGAGGAGAATAGATATAAACTGAAGAAGGTTCCTGTGAGGTTTATGCTGGATATTCATTGATATAATGAAGGGGTGAGGCTTCATTTACCCCTGCTTCTGGCAGACAAGCAACAATTCCCTGTATAAAATGGATGATGTATAGAGAGAGGAACAAGGAATAAGAACTAATCATTTGGTTTTGTGAAGCAGTATTAAAGATGTACGAAGTGAACAAGTGTAGGAATAAGAACTTGTGCAATCATTGTCATTCTATAATATTGGTATGCAAATGATGACACTTTGGGTGAATGCTCTAAGCCTCTAACGCTTGATGCTTTTCTGACGACACGATACATTTACTTCGTATACAATTTTTTCGTTTGAAGGCATGGAACTGTGTATTTGTGCTAGTGAGCAGCTGAGTGCCTGAGCGTTGTCAGTCCATACATTATAATAGTTCTATGGATATTTTCATTGCCCTTTTTATCCCTTTTTTTTTCTGCTGCTGGATCTGCAAGTTTAATGTAAGTGTATATATAACTTTATGAAGAACTGTGATGCTCAGTGCTTTGGATTTGGGGTTAACAGCAGATTACTAAACTTGACAAAAAGTTTCATTCAATCTTATTTCTGTGGCACTCTGAATTAATAAATCTTTACCTGTGAGACAAATTACTGACCCACAAGGTTATTCGATTCAGTTTTGTTGATCAATGTGTTTGATGCATGCTGAGCTCAGTTAGACCTCGAATTTGTCCGCTATACTGATCCAGTCAAGAACTCATGATGATAGTCCTGTTGGATTATTTATTCATTTATATTTCTAAATAAAATTCTAGCATCTAATTATTGCAAATATTAAGCTTACAATTCTATGTGCATGCATGTGCATTGACTACTGGTATGAATCTGTTTTGCTCTTGTAACAGTGTTGCTCATGAGTATAAGGAGTGGAAAGATCAAGATACTCAAGTGGTGACATGCACGAAAAACATTGCTCAAAGTGGCACTCCGCCACAAGAGGTTGATACTGATAAAGAGGTGGTGTTCACTTATGATGTTACTTTTGAGGTATGTTATTCTCTAGATATCGATGTTACTATTTTATGACTGTAATTCTTCTCTCAATATTATCGATATCACTATTTTATGACTGTTATCCCTTTCTCTCATTATTATCTGATCTTTTCAGGAGAGTGAGATTAAATGGGCATCTCGATGGGATACATATCTTTTAATGAATGATGATCAAATCCATTGGTTTTCCATCATTAACTCCTTGATGATTGTCCTTTTCTTATCTGGAATGGTTGCCATGATCATGATGCGAACACTTTACAGAGATATAGCCAATTATAATCAGTTGGAGACTCAAGATGAGGCTCAGGAAGAAACTGGATGGAAACTAGTTCATGGGGATGTTTTCAGGCCACCTCTAAACTCTAGCCTCTTGTGTGTATATGTTGGAACTGGGGTTCAAATTTTTGCAATGACTCTGGTCACTATGATGTTTGCATTGCTTGGATTCCTTTCACCGTCTAACCGTGGGGGACTAATGACTGCCATGGTTCTGTTGTGGGTCTTCATGGGTTTGTTTGGTGGTTATTCCTCAGCTCGTGTGTACAAGATGTTCAAAGGCACTGAATGGAAGAAGAACACATTGAAAACTGCCTTCATGTTTCCTGGTATACTCTTTAGCATTTTCTTTGTGTTGAATGCCTTGATCTGGGGGGAGAAATCTTCTGGTGCTGTGCCTTTTGGAACTATGTTGGCGCTTATGTTGCTGTGGTTTGGCATATCAGTTCCATTGGTGTTTGTTGGTAGTTACCTCGGATTCAAAAAGCCACCCATGGAGGACCCTGTCAAAACTAATAAAATTCCTAGGCAAATTCCTGAGCAGGCTTGGTACATGAAGCCCATTTTTTCTATTCTCATAGGAGGCATCCTTCCTTTTGGTGCAGTCTTTATTGAGCTTTTCTTTATACTGACATCCATATGGCTTAACCAATTCTACTACATCTTCGGCTTCCTTTTCATTGTCTTCGTTATCTTGATCATCACATGTGCTGAAATAACAATAGTGCTATGCTACTTCCAGTTGTGTAGTGAAGATTATCATTGGTGGTGGAGGTCATACCTGACAGCAGGGTCCTCTGCCCTATACCTGTTCTTGTACTCCATTTTCTATTTCTTCACAAAGCTGGAAATTACAAAGCTGGTTTCTGGGATCCTTTACTTTGGATATATGCTAATCGGTTCATATGCATTCTTTGTACTCACCGGCACCATTGGGTTTTATGCATGCTTCTGGTTTGTAAGAAAGATCTACTCTTCCGTGAAGATCGACTAATTACTGCAGTAAGGCCAGAATTTAGGGTTTTATGGTTATTCATCAGTGAGATTCCACTCAAACTGCAGAAGAACAAGGTAGGAAGATTTTGTGCCCATAGATTTGTATGTTCTTCAAGTTCAGCTGAACTCTTGAGCTTCAGCCCGTGCTGAAAAATATATCATTTTGCAGGTGTTAGTGTAGGCCACGATGTGTACTAATGTGCTTTCAGAATGTTACTTGTCAAGATATTGTGACTGGATCACATCTTTAATACTTCGTATATGATACTGCAATGTTTTTGTTAATTTTAGCTTAAATGCATTTTATTTAATAGCAGATTCAAATTGTTTTGTTGTGGCTGGTATAGTATGAACTGCCTTGGTGCCTTACCGTACTGTTTTGGAACAGCACTGTTTTCGGGGAATGTGCACGTAATTTAGGTTGTACTGGCAGATCTTTGAAATGTTCAATACTGCATGAGCTAGCTTTTGACAACACCAATTTTGATCCAATTACCTTTATTATGCAATTCTATCCACAGCTACTAAGTGCTTAGGTACTGCATGGTTGTGAAAACAATCATACAACTAGACCAAGTATTACTTGGTGTGAATGGAGATTTAATGACACTTCACATTTACCCTCTATATAACTCATGCATTGAATGGAGTTAAAAAAAATGAGTGTATGAATCCGTAATATGGCCTAATTATGCTTAATAGTTTATTTCTTTCACCACATTAAAACACATTATACTACGAAGTAGTTAGTACTCCGTAATATAAAGATATTATATGTTGCTCAAAGTGAATTTAAGAAAATAAGGATGAGTTGGGATGGATTGACAAGTTATGTAACACCTGCCTGTGCTCTATACTGGTGGCTGCAAATCTAGTGCAAAAGCTGCCTTAAGTTTAAGAACAAGAACTAAACCATTAAACACATTTTCTAAGGCATTGAATTTAGAAAATACATCACTTTATAATTTGACAAGGTGATAACTGATAAGACAAAGGCAGTTGGTTTGCTGCCTAAGGTGCTGCTCTTGGGTGTGGATCATGCATGGCAGGCCTTGCACCACAGCTAATGAACTCATTCTAGTACGGTAGGGCATGATCAAGGCGATTGCTTTCAACTTTTGGAGTTCCTCGATTGGTGTCTTGCAGAGAATAGGGCGACAATAGCCAAGGGTGACAACTGTGGAGGCAGCAAGAATGTCACTAATGCTGCTGGAAATGCCTGTGGCAGTTGCAGTTCATTTGGGCAACATATTGCAGGGATTGATCGCATTAGGCCGGGTTCCACAACTATTGAATATGCAATGGCAACAATAGTTGGGTATGCTATAGCCATCAATAAACAATGAGGCTACTAGAAAAGTTAATGGTACTTGTAGCTCCAATAAGTTTACTCAATTGATTATCGACACTGGTAGTTCAAATCATATGGCCGGAAACATTAATCTATTCAAACATGTGTATAGTGTTCCCCCCCTCCAGTTTGTTTGCCCAATGATAATCAAACAATGACAACTAAAGACTCCAATTTGTGCTGGGTGATGGCTTAATTTTGAGGGATGTCTTAATATGTTCATTACTTAAATGTTATTCTTTTTTTGTTTTTATGCATATGAAAATTGGAAAGTTTATCAAAATAAAATCATATTTCTCCCATAGTTACTGGCATCGTAGTTAATGGCATGTTTATGCTTAGTCATTATTATGATTCAAGAGACACCCGGTAATTTCATTGCAAGTTACACCCTCGAAGAGGCACTTCTACGGGAGCTGCTTACATGAATGCACTTGACTAATATGAAGCATTCTATTACCTCAATAGGTTCATAGAAATCATTCACGACTTTCTTATAGCTACCACAATTACAGGGTTAGTAACCTGTTTATATTGTAGCTGATCTCAGAAGATTTGCAGAAAGAGTGATCTGATCAACTGTTGTGCAGAAATCAAGAAGCGTAACTCTGCTAAATATTTTACACTAAATATAGGGTCGATAGGGATTAAATTATAGACGTATCAAGAAGTTGAATCGTTCACAAAAGACTAGCAGTACATGCAGTATAACAGCTTAGTAAAATTTTATACTGCATGTTTCAGAATAATCAAATCAATTGTATAATTTCCTATAATTAATTAGAGAAACTTGAGTAATTTAATACCTACAGGAAAAGGTAGAGATCAGAAAATAAGCTAGCCTGTAATTAGCAATTTAGCATTGCCCAGCTTTTTAGGAAGAGTTAAGAGTTTGAAAAGCTTAAAATTGTACAACTACAGGCCTCAAACTACCACAAGAAGACCAATATGACAAATGCAGGATAGGATTGAAAGTGCATCACCAGACGGACAGGTTAAACATCACTTTGTGATCTGATTTTCTTTTCGTTTGTTTTGTACTTGATACATCTCCGATTGCATCCATATTGTTATTATATTCTCCTATAATAAGCATATAAATTAAACAAACTTAGATGGCATATATATAGGATTCTAATTAAAAGCATATGCAACAAATCATAACTTACATGTAAATTAAATGAAAGTGGCAAAGCTGACATGCATAAATTTTAACTGTGATCTTGGCCACGGCCTACAAATCTGTTTGGTCGATCATGTCAAAGTCTGACCTTGAGTTCCTTTGTGCAACACCAAGCTCTCTGCATGATTATATAAAGTTATATTATTACGAACTAAGCATCTCAAAGTTTCAATTTGATGATAAGAAAAAAAAAACTTGTAATAAAGCAATTTTTGACGGTGGTTTATGATAAATGAGTATAGAAGATCTTTGAACAACGACCATTCATCCAAGACCTCAGTGTAGACAATTCCCCACAATTTGCATCTCTTGAAAGCCATGGCCTCCACGACGACGGCTCTTGTCTATTATCCTTATCCAAAACCCATATGGAAGACAAACGGAAAACAGCTATTGACTCGCCAAGAACGAAAATACATCCATACACTACTACTCCTTGTGTCAGTGAAATCCGGAAACTCCACACAGCTAAAGTCCTCAGAATCAAAATCAAAGGACCAAGCCCCTCGAGAGAAAACACGACCAGATAGAGGTGGCATCGAGGGGACATTATTCTTCCGTTTTATTTCTCAACTCCAACTATGATTTTGAAATGAATATGCTGCAATCAACACATCCCACCTACCTCCATCACGACTACAATCATTTGTAATGGCAGCCACCTTATAATTGTTGTCGCCGCCAGAAGAAGGATACCCCAGCACGTACCTCATCCGATACTCGTGCTCAGAACTCTAAGGACACGACGGTAGTATAAAGGACTTTCGAATCGAAGGGTTCCACAATCTCAACAAAACCCTGCTGCCAGATAGCTGCGTAGATGTCGACATCAGCCCATTACAGGTAAAACTTGGTTAAACTAGATAAATACAAGATAAATAATATACAATATTATTAACATAAATGTATCAGTGCTTCGAACAGTAACTATAAATTCATCGCGTCCTTTAACGCTTCTCATGACTAGTACATCAGTGCTTATACGATTGTTTGTGTTGAGGGTGAAATCTTCGGAATCGGTTAGACAACACCAGAGTTTACAAACACACCTGAATCTTAGTAGGCTTTTCACCGGTAGCCTTGCTAGTATGTCCCTTAGTATATCTGTTGGTATGTGAATTTCTTGGTCATTCAACATTCTCATCTTCTTGCTCAAGCGCAGCTTAGGCTTTTAAATTGTAATTATTTATTTATAATACACTTTACATAACTAGGAAGACTCCTAAACCTACCAAACTTATACTTGTATAATTTACATAAACCTACCAAGATTAAATTAGTATCCTAACCCTAGCGGTTTAGGTAAATTATACAAATATAAGTTTGGTAGGTTTAGGAGTCTTCCTAGTTATGTAAAGTGTATTATAAATAATTAAAAAAAAAAGGTCTCAAATCAAATCTAAAATGTGTATGATAAAAGATAATGTTGGAAATTATAAATCAATTATATGGCTGGACACACCGCCAGCTAACACATGAGTAACCCCTGACCAAGTAACTTAGTCCTGACTGACCAAATAACCCCTGGCCAACTGAGTGAGTAACAACCTCTGACTGACCGAGTAACTCCTAGCCAAGTAACCCCGATCATTTTAAAAAATAAAAAATGTGGTTGACCACACCGTGTGGCCAGCCATATATAAAACTTTGTGATTATTCAAAATCTAATCACTTGAGTTGTTATCTTATATTCTTATCTAAATTCAAGCTAGGGGATCTTACTAAAAATGCAAATTATAAACAGAGTGTCAACAAAATTAGACTATTAATTTTAAAAAAAAAAAAAAAAAATAGGTCAACCTAGTTGTTGACCTTTATGGTTTCGATGAACAAACTGTCAAACTCGACTAATGAATTGGTAAATGAAAGGTTCACGCAACAAGGATCGTTCCAAAATAGGAACACTAAATCAAGATTGCGAAGTAGCATTCACACAAGTACAACGTGCAAACCTATATTCTAGATTATGTGTAAGTACTTAAAATATAAGTTGGCTTTTGGAACTCAGTAAGGCACGTTATCATAAAGGTTAAAATAAATAACGTTCATTTGGAATATAAAACTGGTTTTGAAGGAATGTGATAAATAATGTTTTTATAATTTATTTATTAAATTATCTTTTTAAACAAAAATATCTTTTTGAATAAATCAAACCCACCGGTCTTTATCATAAACTTCATTCGGTTTTCATGGCTAAAATATAGGAGTTTTTGTTGAGGTAGTTGTGGATTGGTGAGCAAGCAAAGGAAGACACCCATGTCCTCCACTTATCACTTACTCTCTACTACTTGAAGACATGTGTACGTGGGAGTTATGGGAGGTGTCTAGTGACTTTGTTTTCTCTATGAATACATGCAATCTATCTCAGCAAGAACAACACTTCTTTAGCATTATTATTCCAATAAGCATATTATCTAATAGCGTGATAAAGTTCCTAAAATACTTCTTAGACCACTATCAACGGTGAGGAGAAAAAAACCCTCTCAATCTCTCTCTACCCACTTTCTCACTCTTCCCATCCAATTTCTCTCATGAGAGGTTTTTTTCACTACACCAATGCTCAAAAATAAAAAAAAAAATTGTTCATCACTTTATCCTCCACTATTTACTATACCCCACCATAATACACATCACCTTTTTTATTTTCTCTTTTTTTTAATAATGTTTATACTATATGTAGTACTACTATTTAACTTTCTCCTGGGTCCCACAATAATACTATTCATCTTGATTTGCTCTCAACTCTTGTGCATTTTTCATTTCCTTCAACCGTGAGAGCTTTTCCACTCATTGGTGTAGTGTTCGGTTTTTTTTTTTTACATCATAACTTTCACTCGTGAGGGGCTTTTCACTCACTGCTGGGAGTGCTCTTATAGTCTCTCGTACGTTAGGTCTTGTATTACTTACTGTAATTGTAATTTGTGAGGTAAAGGAAGTTTCAAAGTTGAAACTTCTGAGAGAATTGGGAACAAGTTTCGTTCTTGTGGAACTTAGTTCGGGTTGATTATTTACTTGGTAAAAGAGTTTGATTTACATAGTGGAAATTCCAAAAACCCCATATCATTTCTCTCTATTATTTTACATTGTTTTAATTCTGCAAAAAGTTTACTACTTCACCTATACTACAATTCACCCCCCCCTCTTGTAGTAGCTATCTAGAACTTCACTAGTTAAACATCCCTGTAGACATGAAAATACTCAACTTTCATAATGAAAGACGATTTTCAAAGGAATTTTCCGAAAAATTATTATATACATTCCGGTGCACGGTGTACCCATGAATATTTTCTTCTCATTTTAATAATTCTTATTCATTTAATCATCAAATAAAGAGTAAAAACTAATCTTAGGTTAGTTGGGTGCACGATATACCCAAGTGTATATAACAATTTTTAAGATTTTCTAGCATAGTTATATGAGTAACCTTGCATTTGATCCACACTTTCCGAAATAAAAGACGGCTACAGGACTCTCCCAGTCTCCCAACACAAAAATAAGAATAACCGACCATTTGATCCACCTTCGCCTTGTAACACAATATGAAGTTATTTGTGGTCTCTATAGTCTTGAACTGCGTGCTGTTAAAATTCTTCAACATCTTGAAAAGTCTCTTTCAAAAAGAAAAAAAAAAAATCTTGATGAGTCCTAATATCTGTCATTAGACCGCCATAAACAGTTGATATATACATGGACACTTCACTAGTTCACTTAACCGCCGTGTCCACCGACACTTCTTAGACACACAACAATACGTTTTGAACCGTGTCCTACTATGATATATGGGTTATGCTATGTGACATGCCACCTTATCCTTTGCAACTTTTTTTTTAGTGATAAAATAAGTAAAATAAGATAAATAAGGTAGTAGTTAAATAATGTGGATGCCTTCATATATAGCCCATTGTTGTTTGTGATCTAAATAGTACTCCATATTATGATACTAGATTTAAATCCGTGCGATGTACGGGTTTTATTTATAATTAAACTTAACATTTAATGTTTATCGAAATAACAAAATATTAATACATAATATTAGTTAATTTATTTATTTTTTATTTTTTTTATTATTTTTTTAATCTTATACAATTAAGGTTCACACATATACAAACAAATTTTAAATCTTCTAGGCTTCCATCATTCATTGTAAATTAATCGTTGATCATGCCAGTTAATAAGTTGCGTAATTAAACCCGCCCCTTGAATTGCAAAATTAACACTTATGAGCTATGACTGACTTCTTAATTATGATCACTGTTCATCGCATTCAAGAATTTCATGGTGCAAATTCTAAAATATGCTTCTTTGCATGCAAAAGTTTTCTGTTTATTTGTGTGCAACATATAGGATTGAAAAAAATAGTGGATTTAAAGTGGTGATAAAGTTAATTAGATAATCTTTTAACCAAATAAATGATAAATGATGAACATTTTTTTTTTGCTTGCTGGAAAAAGAGAAATGATATATTTTTAGTTTCAATAATTTTTTCTTATCTTTTGTAGTATTTTTTTTTAAAAAAATATTTTATTATAATCACTTCTCATATTTCATTATTTTTTTTATCTAATCCAAATTTTTTTTTTCAAAAATCAATTCAACGTGAATTTCATTTTTTAAGATTAATAGTATTTTTTTATATATACAAAATAAAATAAAATTGTTTCTTTTCTCTTAAATAAAATTTCCAATTTTAAAAGATTATATTATTTTTATAATAAATTTAAATCTTTAATTTTAATCCTACGTGGTGCTTTAAAATAATAATCCTACGTGACATAATCCTACACTTAAGGCTCTAAAAAAAAACTAATCCTATATGGCGCTCTAATAATTTTTAAAAACTTAAAATCCTAGCTCTCTAAAATCTTGGGAAAAAAACTCTCGTTTATATATATACTAGTTTTGTGTCCGGGCAATGCCCGAATTATCCTAAACTTTTTAGCTTAAATGTTAAATACGATCATACAACCCTTTCTGATAATGTAAAATATTTAGACGTACGATATCATATCGCTTATTTATATAATAGTGTATTTTTTGTAGTTTTATTTGTAAATAGATATCTATGTTATTATTAACTTGATAATTTTTATTGCACTTTAATTATTTCTAATGAATTGAAAGTATTTTTACCAAACTAAAATTATTTTTTCTGATTAAAACTTATTTTATTACTAATTTTCTATTTTAAAAAATATATTATAAATGGATCTCATTTTATAGAACTTTTTAAAACGAACTTTATAATGGAAATAGTACTGAGTTATAAGATATTTATTAAAAATTATAATTAATTTTGTATATATGAGATATTAGAAGTACATCGATAATAAAACGCTATACAACATTTTTATCTTAAAAAAATCTATCCAAAATTCGCTTACTTAGCATCCTATGTGTCACAATAATTCCTATTTACCATCTACATGGCTTGACACTTGGCGAAAAATTGGAATGCCAAGTGTCGATGTCTCGTGGCCTGGCTGCGAAACCGGCTTTATATATTAGCGATATGATCGATATACTAGTTTTGTGCCCGGGCAATGCCCAGATGGTTGATAAAATTTTAAGATAACATTTTTACTTGAATGTTAAACACGGTCAAATAATTCGTTCTAATGTAGGATATTTAAACATACGATATCATATGGCTTATATATACATATATATATATATATATATATATATATATATATATATATATATATATATATATATATATATATATATATATATATATATATATATATATATATATATATATATATATATATATATATTATATATATATTATATATATATATATATATATATATATATAGTATACTTTTTGTAGTTTTGTTTATAAATAGATATATATGTTATTATTGACTTGAATTATTTTATTGAACTTAAATTATTTTCACTAAACTGAAAGTTTTTTTAACCAAACTAAAATTATTTTTACTAATTAAGACTTATTTTTACTGATTCTCTAATATTTTTTCTAAATAAATTAAATAACAAAGCATTTGGTATGCGGTTAGCCAAACCATCTAGTCGGACAAATTAACCTCTAACACTGACTAAGTAACTCCTATCTATAACACTGATTGAGTAACCACTATAACACTGACCAAGTAACCCCTATAGCACTAACGAAGTAACTCTTGTAATAGTTGGTGACATGGTTTGACCAACTACGTATAAAAGTTTGTGATTAAATATATAATAAATGAATCTTATTTTAAAGAACTTTTTAAAACAAATTTGATGATGGAAATAAAATTGAGTTATAGGATGTTTATCAAACAATAAGTCTTGTATAAGGCGAGTGTACGTTAGTTTTATTGTAAGACTATCAGTTTAAGGGTAACTTTAACTATTTTTATGGTAACTTTATTTTAATTTTTAGTTAGTTAGAATTTTAGTTTAATGTGTAATTTCTTATAGATTCATGATTACATACTATAAAGACTAATATGTCTAATCTAATAAATTATAAGTTATTTATAAGATAAAATTTATAATTAGAAAAATTATAACTTTTGTAATATAAAAGGTAAATTTAAATACTTTTAAGATAACTTTATCCCGTCTTACA